GACTAAATTAAACTAAATAAACTAAATTAGACTCCCTGACGAAAGTATTACGACCCTAGCGGCTACCCCTGATATTTTGCAGGTCAAAAATCTAAATCCGTCGAGAAAAAGGCATGTTTATTTAGAGAAAGTACGATTTTGTGACTAATTTCGTAACTAAAAAAAATCTTCAGCAGTAATTAATTAGTTATTTTAAAGTCACCTCATCGAACCGTTAGGATAGATAAAAATTATTCAAAGGCTATTTTTTTGCGCATTGCACTACCGAACGTTATTAAATGCTATACAATTTCAATCCAATGAAATTTATTAAAAAAAATTATTCCATTTTCATTTCGCGAAATAGAACTATTAATAACAATGATATATTTAAAATTGAAACTATTGTATTAGATAAAATCGTATGCTCGGCCTGTTCTATTGTTTAAGTTCATCTCTAAAACTTAATATTTTGTTTTGATATAATAATTCGTTATGATACGAATCTTAAGTTCTTGAAAGCTCTCGTTTGTTACATTCATTTATTAAAAAATACAAGCGCAGGGTCACTGGTGCTCCACATTGATAAAATCATTCAATAACTTCGCAGTTTAAATATTGTATTGCAGATCTGGAACATGTCTCATTTAATTATATATCATTGAATGATTTATTTCTGTCATTTCGCTCATTGTTTTAGTTTAGCAGCACGCGATGTAATCCTATTTTTTATAGGTTTATTTTATTTGCTTTCTTATTTGAAATGTTTATATAAACTGAATTCGTGAATAATTAAGTAAACGGTTCAATCGACAGTGACAAAAATAGACTATAGAAATCAACAACGATGAAACAAGATTATCAAGTTATATAATTTGTTATTGGATATTAAATTGTCAATGAATAATTTTTTTAGTTCAAGGAACTTATTGGGGTAATTAGTAATACCACACCTTTGTTTTATTGAAGCTTTTGAAACATAGCGTAATGATTTTAATTAAAATAATATAAAAATATTAGTAAATTCGACTTTATTTTATAATTAATACTACTCATTTGTTCAATTTTAAATTTGAGTTATAAAAATATTTTTTTTTTTGCTGTTAGATTTCAACGGGAGTTTTATAAATATATTAAGATTTTAACCCTTCAACACTTGAATTTTTTAGATATTTGTATTTTCCTCTTAATAAAAATAGCATTGAAATGAGAAATTTATTTAAAGAAAATTCGAACTGTTGCTCTTCTATTTTATTTTTACTTTTTTCCAAAAAGTAAAAGAATTCCACTTTAGATTTAGACAATTTATAAAAACAAAAATCGTAACCAGTGATATAGTTAAAAACTTAGATAAAAAAAGCATTGTGACCTTCTCATGTTTTTAACTAAACTCTAAATGACAATTTTTGAAAAAATAAATGTTAATTAGCAAAAGTGAGCAAAAACCATAATAAAAATTTAGATAACAAAGAAGCATAAATCACGAGAGCAGAACGATAAATATTTAGATTTTTTCAAGGTGCATTGTGAATACATGCTTAATGATGACTTTCAACAATGATAATATCGAGATTGTGATCGAAAACCATAAATATCTGATGCAATACAGTCGCGAGTATTACTGATAATAATAAGATCGTGATCAATATCAAAATATATTGCATACAATAATAATAAGAAAACTATCGTTAACTGTAATTCATCGAATACAATATTATTTTGAATTACGATAAATTCAGCTTATGTAAATAATAAAGTAATGTAAAAACAATTGAAAATAATGTTAAATATAAGGATGTATAGTGAATAGCAATGTATAGTGAAATATCCATATTTCCTGACGATATATCGTGATATTTAATTTACAATACCACCTAGCACTGTAATACTTTCAAGCGAAAACAAAAATCTATCTGAAATGAATTTTATAACCGAATTTTATAACCGTCGTTGAACAATCGACCCAATTTTGGGTTTATGACTAGTAATGTTTAACTCCGTAGCCTTGTAATTTTGAACCCAATCCAGAAGACAAGGGAGCTCCTGAATCAAGTATTGGGAGAAATGTGCCGTCGCGGAAGACTTTTTGCTGGAACTAACCTGCATTTGCGTTACATGGAGAGGAAAACCACGAAAACCTTCCATGGCAAGGGAACTCTAACCTATGATCCGTCTACCACTGAGAATATTTTAAGTCAGCACTGTGGTCAGCACGGTGCAAGCCGGTTGTGGAATTCGAATCGATCAATCATCGCTGGTATTCGAACCCGGTTCACCTTATTGGATGGCGAACGCTCTATCCCCTGAGCCACTACGGCTCTTCTAAAATTAATTAGATAATTGCGAGAATTCAGTGAAATTTGAGCTGCTTTCTCCCCTCACCAGGTGTGAAAGGGTTAAAAAATTAAAAATTTATTTCGCCTTTTTGAATATAGAGAGCAAAATGCTTGTTTGTTCTTTATACAAATCTGTAATTCTAAAGAGATTTGCAACAAATCTGGTGCTTCAAATGCACAACTGTCGGCACCATTGAAGCAAAGCTTAATACAGATCATTTACCTTTAAAATATTTTTAAATTGCAGGAAGAAGTTAATATTGAAACACTTAAGGAGGATCATCGTGCGCACTTAAACCTAACAATAAATATTTTATTGTTAGAGGAAATTGATAAAAGAACTTCAACGTCGAAATTTATTATTGTCTTAATGCAAGTCATTAACGAAATAATAAGCTTTATAAATCCAAAAATAGACTATCAGAATCATCGCAAATGTTTCTATTTCTGTGTAACTGATTATATTACTGCATACATGAATAAAACAGATTAATTATTTATAATTTTTAAATAAACAATATGCAGAAATAAATAGGAACAAATATCCCGTCGTGTCCTCGATTCAAATCGGTTATCGCCAAACTACTTATAACATATCCGACCTCAAATCTAAAATGATTCGCCAATTAATACGTTATCGCCATTATATGACTCATTCCACGTTTCATATCCATTAGGCGTACAACCTTTGCCTTTTACTTAAGGGATCTCTTCCGATGGAAAACTAAATGCAGATGTTATCCTAGTTTTCTCAACGCGCAAGGCTGCTTCCGGGCACGAAGTTTGGCGACGTGACATTGAAACAGAATGAAGTTGGTGAGAAGGAAAAGTATATGTGCCAATTTTGATGCCAAGAGTGACGGGTCGCGGCCCGTGAACTAATTAACTACCTAATTGTGCTGAGGTATTTGATATTTCGGTCACGCAGGACCATATTGTTTCGGGACTCTGCCATTGAAAGCAAATGAAAGGCTTTCCGGCAGATAATGACGTTTATTGGTTATCTGAGTTGTATCGAGTTTTTTTATTAGGGTTGGTGTCTTGTTATTTAAACTGATGTAGATTTGATTTGTTATTGTTAGGATTAGAGTGGTATATTTATGGCTGATTGAAAGATGAAAGACCTGTATGCAAATATTTATCCGAGTCTATTGAAATAGTGTAGGATTAAAGAGTGTCGTTTAATTAATAACTTGTAATGTTTACAAAAATAAATAACAAGATTACCATAAAGGGGTTTGTTTACTGTAGAAGGGGAAAGAATCAAGATTTTTTTTTTTAGCAAGACAATAGAATAAATCAAAATGCTGAAAAAAGGCTTTCTTAATATACAACTAGTGGACGGTTATAAGAATTAGTTTTTTTTTTAGAGTGATACAAAGAAAAAAAAAGACTTTTCTTTGATCAAACCGTTTTTTGATCGATCTTTCTAAAGAGTTTAACAAAAAAAAAAAAAGAAAAAAAAAAAACTATGCAACAACTTAAAAGATGTTTTATTTCATTTTATAACCAGCGTTAAACAGCCGACCGGATTCTGAGTTTACGACTATCAATGTTCAATTCCACAGCCCTGTAATTTTGAACCCAACACTGAAGACAAGGTAACTTCTGGATCAAACATTGGGATAAACTAGCCTTCGTAGAGGCCTTTTTGATGGAACTAACACGCATGGAGAGAAAAGCCAAGAAAATCTCCCACTGTTAACCTGACGGCCAGGGGATTTTAACCCATGATATTTTGCGTTAGCACTGTCGTCGGTGCTCGTCTGGAGCAGAATTCGTATCAACCAGAAACTGCTGGTATTCGAACTAGCAGTGGCTGGTTCCTCTTTGTGAGGCTAACGCCCTGAGCCAACACGACTCAATTAATTGAAATTAAGTACTTCAGTAAATAATGTGATTTTTAGGTATGCAGTTTTTATTTGAAGTCAATCGATAAAGATTTGTTTAAGATATAAGTTTGGATCACTTAAAAATGTAGCTTTGAAAAACATACTTTTGAAGTTTTCAGGACCTACGCAATTAGTGTAGCAGGCAGTGTGAATAATGTTCACAATTCAAATATTTAGATATTTTTCCTGCTCTCGAATCTTTGGGTACATCATTTTAAGGTATTAAAGACCCTTTTGAAAATTTTTTTCGAAGGTTTTTTTCGGGATTTGGAGTGACATTAAGAGGGAGAAATATTGTAGTCGATAAAATTATCGATATTTCCCATAGCGCATGCAGTCCGCGAAAACAGTCTGGCTACCTTTAATAAATTTTGATTCGCAAATCAAATTCAGAATTTCAGAATTATTGGTTAACGTTAAATTACAAGTGTCATTTGGTAGCAAATGTTACTTTTTTTATTAAAAACAACATAATTTATAATTAGTTTTTGATAATATTTAATAATAACGCTATTATAATCATAATTTATATTAGAGTTCAGCTATTATATCTATATATATAACTATATATTATATATTACTATATTATATCTATATATTATATATTACTATCTATATCTATATATATATTTATATCTATATATATCTATATCTATATATATATTTATATCTATATATATCTATATCTATATATATCTATATCTATTTATTTTTGTTATATATCTTTGTTACACGAATTAAGTTCCAGTTATTCGTCCTTCAAAATTTCTAATAATTTAATTTTATATTTCAGATGAGTTGTCGAATATCGGAAGTAGAATCTCAACCTCCAAGGCCTAAGTCTCCATGCAGATTTACCGATTCTCCCCAGCAACACCCTAGCGGGTGTATGTTTCGAGGAGTAGAAGTGGATTCTCAACCTCCACCTCCAAGGCCTAAATCTCCATGCAGATTTACCGATTCTCCCCAACAGCACCCAAGTGGGTGTATGTTTCGAGGTATGGAAATGGAATCCCAACCACCAAGACCCAAGTCTCCATGCAGATTTACTGATTCACCACAGCAACACCCCAGTGGGTGTATGTTTCGAGGTATAGAAATGGAATCTCAAACTGCAAGACCCAAGTCTCCATGCAGACTAACTGATTCACCCCAGCAACACCCCAACGCGTGCGTGTTCAGGGGATTGGAAGCGGAATCCCAACCTTCAAGGCCGAAGTCCCCATGTAGGATAGCAGAAGCACCCCAGCTACACCGCATACAAAACAACTATATGATGTTAGATCTCAGAAAGCAAATTCAGTGGCAAAGTCAGGTGATAAGGGATTTAAAAATCGAACGGGATCGGCTTACGAAGGAGCTTGCCTCTCGCCTATTTTACGTCGAAGCACAACTACGCAGGGAACAAAAACATATAGAATCATTATTGAAAGAAAAAGATCAGTACATCCGCTTTCAGGGATTGCAAATTGAATCCCTCAAAACTATTTTGTCTAAAGTCGATTGGGATTATAGGCGGCACCAGGACTGCAACCAAAAGTCACGATCCGCTACGACAAATTTATCTGTAAGACGTGGGAAAGTTCCACCGCCATTGGATAAGAGATTTTCCTATGCCCTAGATGAATACATGAAGGACCACGGTGTCGTGTCTAGAGCTCAACCAGTTATTGTGCAAGCAGATTCTGAGGGTGATAAGAAGCCACAAAAACAAAAGGATACATCCTATGGTTGTTTCCGCGCTCGAAGTCTGCCAGAATTGCGCATTGACAAAACTACGGAGAACAGAAATCCATCTTGCAGTTTCAGTTCGTATTACCAGTCCATATCCGATTTGGGATTACCTCAGGATATCATCGACGAGCTGGCATCTAGACGCTGGACGTCAGATTGCGATTCGGAGCACTCCGACTCATTGGATTCTGGGATATCCAGCCCCAGCATCAAGTCACGAAACATGCACGCCTTTCCCATGCCTCCCGTATCAGGTGCAGGGAAAGTCAAGCAAGACAACTCTTCTCAAAGACGTTGTTCGATTGGCAATTTTCTCAATCGCACTTTTTCTCTGTCATCGTCACAGTTGGATAAAATTAAAGATAACGAAGAGTATCAAGTGAAAAATGTCCCAAGTCGCAGACATGGCTCGTTTTCTGTTTCGAAAAACAAAAGTTTTGACCATGATTGCCATGTTGTGAGGAAACCCGAGGAAGAGCCTAAACCTCGTAATCGATTCATTAGTTCTGCTAATCGGACTTTTGGAACGAATCATAGATCTGTTACTAAGCCTCGTGATATCAAGTTTAGAAAACTTTTTAAGTTTCGACGTCGTAGTGAACCCATAGATCAAGGAGCAATTAACCCTGAAGATTACATGACAGTTTAAGAGTAATTTGTTTAAGAATATCTCTATTTTAAATTTTTATTGGTATTTTTTTTTTACATTAATTTTATATATATGTATTTCTGATTTTTAAATTCGTATACTAGCATTAATATATATATGAAGGGCTTGGTACAATATAATGAAAAGTCACATTTTAAATTTCTTCAAGAAAACGTATTCAGCGAAATACACTGCAATTTAACTGCGTACAACAAGATGTGTCGGTGCATTGTGTTGTAATCTAGTGGAAATCCTTCTAACTTGTAAAATACCTGTCCAAAAAAAAAAAGAAAAAAAAAGAAAAAAAAAACTAAGAAACTGTTTTTTACAATACTGCCCTAAACCCTTTACTTAATAGTGGTATTATACGAATTAAAAAAACGAAAATTGTTGTTATTTGTAAAATATTAGGTTTACCTACTTTTTTTTGAAGCAGCATCATTTTAAATTTTAATAACACGAATATATTAAATTTCTTATTATGGATTTGAATACACATTAGAATGAGTACCAATTACTTTTTCAATCCCATATTGTGTATTATTTTTAATTACACGAATATATAAAATTTCTTACTAGGGATTTTTATACACATTAGAATGAGTACCAATTACTTTTTCAATCCTATATTGTGTATTATATTTAATTACACGAATATATTAAATTTCTTATTATGGATTTTAATACACATTAGAATGAGTACCAACTACTTTTTCAATCCCATATTGTGCATTATTTTTAATTACACGAATATATTAAATTTCTTATTATGGATTTGAATACATATTAGAATGAGTACCAATTACTTTTTCAATCCTATATTGTGTATTATATTTAATTGCACGAAAATATTAAATTTCTTATTGTGGATTTTAATACACATTAGAATGAGTACCAATTACTTTTTCAATCCATATTGTGTATTATTTTTAATTACACGAATAAATTAGATTTCTTATTATGGATTCTCCTACACATTAGAATGAGTACCAATTCCTTTTACAATTCTATATTGTGTATTACGATATTGTTTTGGTTATAAAATCTGACTATTCCATTACATATTAAGTTAAATAAATAAGAGATACGTCAAAGGAAACAATGATTATCGAAAACAAGGATAATGACGAAACAAATTCAAAATGTACTCAATACAGTGCGACACATGACAAAGGGGGGAGGAGGTATGGTGAAGTATGACACTGTGACAAATGGGAGGGAGAAGACAAAAATATTGAAAGAAAGTTTGACATCAACAATGAACAATTCCAATTTGGGAATAATACAGTACTCCCTACTTTGATGAGCATTATCAAAAATCGGAGGGAAAAAAATTAAAGGGATGGAAATAATCGAACACGGAATAAATAGGGCAATGTAAGTACCACAAATACTTAAAAATAATTTATGATGATTTGTGCGAGATTTTCATTCATATAAATTTTTTTAGAAACCATTTTGTACGATTTTTTGAAACAAGGTTTTGATGTCTTAGGAAATGAATATTGGCCACTAAATTTTAAAGTAATGACGACGCAGACAAGTAAAAGAAACTATGTAAATAATTATTTGTTATCAATAATCTATTCTATTTACACTTTGTAATTTTATTTTAATATTGAAACTGAAATAAAATAGTATATGACTTATAGAAGTGATACTAGTTTTTGATAGAGCTAAATTTATCCTTCGTCACAGGCTTAAATTATGTTAAATTTTAGTAATGATTAAATAAAATTAGATGCGGTGATTTCTTATTTATTAAAAGATGAAGAATCTCTTTTTTAATAATGTTTAAAAAAAAAAGAGCAGTTTTTGAATTGTTTCACTAAATAATAAAAAAAAGTGACCTTTCGGTTAGTTTTTATTCATAATTATAAACTAATTAATGCAGTTATTCACAGTTTGTAAAACAAAAAAGTAAATTTCATAGCATATTTTCGTTTAACTTTTAGTAATTTGGACAATATTTAGTATGGACAATATACAAATTAATGATTTGCGTACTATATTGAGAGATCGAAAATACAATTACGTAAATAAAAAAATTCCTCTTCACTGCTATTAAAAAGGAAATCCCAGTATCAAGAGAATTCCTCATATGTCTTATTTTTAACTGTCAAATATATATTTAATTGTGTGAATATTATATTTAATTGTGTTGTTGTAATAATTGAAGTTTTTACTTTTATTTCCAATACACATTAGATAATAAAAACTATTAATATTATTAATTAACAATTGTTTATCTTTAATTTAATTGCATGCTATAATTCATTAAAAATGTATTCTCAAAGGCATTTGGCATAAGGTACTATTCAAATTACCATTAAGATTTAAGTTTTGAATGGTTGCTGTTCACTTTTCATACTTTGTGAGCTAAATGTTGAATCGTTTTTAAGTTATGAGATGACGTGAATAAATAATAAAGGTTCATGGGGAAATTAATGAAAAATAATTTTCGCAATATATTATTTCAGCTATTGCTTTTTCTTTTTTTTTCTTTTATAGTTTCCTAGAATTTCCATCCTTTGTCACCGCTATCAAACAAAACAAATTATTTTTATAAGGTTTTATTGGAAGTAAATATCATTAAAAAAATCCGACAGATGTCAGCACTTATTTCTTTTTACTTTTGTTAAAAAAATGTATTACAGAAAAAGAAAGTTGTGGAAAAATTGATTTATATAAAACAAGATTTGCTAGTAGTTGACATGTATTGGTTTAATTAATATTTTGCGATTTTTTTGTTCAAATTAATTAAGTTTTTCCTTTATTGAAACTTTTTATGTTTGTTTGATTTTTGCTAAAATAATTGTTAGCAATGTGTATTGAATTTTATTAAATATTTCATGAATTGTGATTTAAGAACTAAGAACTCCGCTGGCGGATGAAATTAGATAGTGAAATTGTTTGATTGTCTTACATTATTGTACTGTTTTTTTTTTAATAAAGAATTTTTATTAAAAAAAAATTTCAACTCTTTGTGTTTGGGAAAATGTATTTTCATGAAAAAGAAGTGCAGTACAAATCAGTTGAATTAATGAGTTCGGAAACAAATTTAATTTATAATTATTTCTTTCCTATGAACATATTTATTTTTCTAACTCATCAGATCAATTTGTGTTAATGGATGAGTTTCCAATATTTATAGTACACAAAACATATTAAATTATTTGTACTTTAAATACAACAAATTTTTAATTTAGGCGTTGAATAAGTCCTTTTAATAAAAGTTCAGATTGAGGAAGGTGAGACTTTAATTTGAGCAAAATAAATCTTTTAAAAACTGAAAATCCGTTTATGCATTAAAAATATTAATTGTATATTTAAAATGTCTAAGCGTGTGCTGTGTAATTTGAGCTTTACTTTTTAAAATATAAGTGATTTCTTATATCCTTATTTAGCGATGACTAGTTACGATTTAGTTCGTTAACTGAGAAATAAAAGTATGTTTTTGTTATCACTCTATATTAATAACCAATCGAACTTCAATATTGCACACCAACTCAATAAATGGTTAGAATCCCAATAAACTCTAGCATTGTTTTCAACTCTCGAACAAAACGTCAATGATCAGCTCATTTTTAGAACCAATGTCAGATTTATTTTGCATATGTGGAATCATGCAGATAAAAATGCAAATAGTTTTGTAACGTCACCCTTCACCTATATTTATTATATATATTTATTCCTTTATGTATTTAATAATATAATAATAATATTTATATTTCGTTAAAAAGCAAGTTTCAATGTAAAAAAAAATATACGATGCACACAATTAAAAAGGAATATTCTGATGTATTCAAGGAAATTTTTTTAAAAATAATTCATTGCCAAGGGGAAATTTTATCTAATTCATTACCGCTACTAGGCAACTAATAAATGTTTGATGAAAATCCTTCGATTTCCACGATAAAATTTTCGTCCGTGGTTGTAAGAATGAAATTATGGGCGAAATGATTTCTATAATATACTACTGAAAAGCGTTCCCTCATTAGGGTTTTTACGCGTTTTTTTAAAAAAATCAAAGTGTACTAAAGAGCATTCATTAGTGTTTTTACGCTTTTTGTTAAAAACAAATATACTGAAAAGCGTTCCCTCATGAGCGTTTTTACGCTTTTCTTTAAAAAAATTAAATGTACTGAAAAGAGTTCATTGCTTAGTGCTTTTACGCTTCTTTTCTTAAAAATAAATATACTAAAAAGCGTTTCCTCATATGCGCTTTATATGCTTTTTTATAAAGAAATTCAATGAGCTGAAAAGTGTTGCCTCATTAGCGTTTTTATGCTTTTTTTAAAAAAAATAAATAAATGAACTGAAAAACGTTGCCTCATAAGCGTTTTTACGCTTCTTTTTTTAAAAAAATTGAATGTACTGAAAAGCGTTTTTACGCTTTTTCTTTCTAAAAATAAAAAATAAATAAATAAATGATAATTTTGTATCTACATGTTCTATGAAGGACTTAAGTCTTGCAAATGACATTTAAAGTAGAAGCTCTCGGCAAATTTTTTTTAAATAAAAAAAATAAATAAATAAACTGAAAAACGTTGCCTCATAAGCGTTTTTACGCTTCTTTTTTCGAAAAAATTGAATGTACTAAAAAGCGTTTTTACGTTTTTCATTCTAAAAAAAAAAAAAAAAATGATAATTTTGTATCTACATGTTCTATGAAGGACTTAAGTCTTACAAATGACATTTAAAGTAGAAGCTCTCGGCAAATTTTTTTTTAAATACTTAAAACTTTATGTTTTAATAAAATCTTGAGCCTTTATGACTAGAAATTGCGAAATACCTTTAAATGTGTTGCATCATATTAAAAAACACAAATTTCTAGCGGGATTTTAAAATGTTTTAATTGGGCCTTTATATAATATATTTTTATTTTGGCAATCAACTTCCTAAGCTTCGTTAATGGCTCTGCGAATTTCAGTTTAATTACGATGCAGATAAATAAAAAAACTTTGTGATATAAAATTCCATATTATATACAGATGTCTAGACTGACTAAGCAGCTTAACTTTTAATGCAAAACGAATATTTCGTAACTGTAATTAAGATTAATAACGGTTTATCGTAAACTTCTATAAGATTTAAGTAAAAAGATTTAAAGTCTTTTAGTTTATAGATTTAAAACCATACATGTTATTATTCAATTTCATTAAGAACAGTGAATATTTATCTTTTCTTATCGGAAATAATAAGTTGGTTAATTAGCGGAGGAATTTATTGGCGATCCTGAGTAACTTTTGATTTAATCATTTGTTTTTCAAGTACTAACAATTTTAATATTTCGAAAAATATGCTAATTCATTAGTGTCTGTAGACAAACAGTTCCCAAATAGTGTTCCAAGGAATTTTAGAGTTCCTTTGAAGGAACTTAAAAAAGAAAATACTGATTTTTGAAACCTGTTTGTATCCGCTCATTATTTATCAAATATATCGGTTATTTATTTGAAAGAATTAAAGCAAAATGTCAGTGTGTAAAATGTGTCATTTAAAAGAAAAAAAAAATAATTTCCACTAATTTTTCCCATCAATCTTATCAATTCAAAGAAAATATCGAATTTTAAAAATAAATGTTTCCCTGATAATCATCCTCTTTAGTTTTCATTTCAACGAAAACTATAAATCACCTAATCCATTTTCAGATAATAAATAAGCTGATTTATGGTCTTCATATGATAGCCAAAAGCAAATTTAGAACTGGACTAGAAGCCGCTTAATACCTGTGAATTGATCTGCCACTTAATTGTAAGATTATTACTGATAAAACGATTAAAAAATTCATCATATTTTTGATATTAGATTATTTATGACGATTATCAGTATTTTCTTAGTTCAAATGCTCGCAATTTTATTTTATTTTATAACCGTCGTTGAACAGCCGACCCAATTCTTTTGAGTTTACGACTACGAATGTTCAACTCAGTAGCCTTGTAATTTTGAACCCAATCCAGAAGACAAGGGAACTTCAGGATTGAGTATTGGGAAAAATTTGGTTTCGAAGAGGACTCTGTGATGGAATTTACCCGCATTTGAGTTACATGGAGAGGGACACAACGAAAACCTTAAATGGTTAGTCTGACGACAAGGGGACTCTAATCCATGATCCGTCTACCACTGCGATCGGAGCGAGATGGGTGTGGAAATCGTTTCTACTTTCTACCAGCCCTGGGATTCAGACCCAGTACATAAAGCCACTGCGGCTAAATGCTTACACTTGCTAATGAACTTTATATACTAGCTCGGGGGTTCCATCAAAAAAAGATTGTTTATTTAGGGTTCCGTAATAGGAAGAAAATGGGAACTGCTGGTGTAGACAACTTTTTAAGCTACGAAATCAGGACTCAGTATTATTTCTGATAATACTTACCTCTATTTGACGAATATGGGGTTTTACACATTTTGGACTTTTCACCAACTGTTAAAAAAATACAGACACGGAAAAGCAGCATATTCATTGGCATATTTCATTATATTCATTGGCCTATTTCATTGTATTTTCAAAATCTGTAAGAGAATCAAAAAATTTCTCACTCTGTTGTAAATAATCTTCCATTTAAAAATAATTCCAAGCAAAAAGTGATTGTTTACAATTGTTTATTCTTATTCTTAGGCACTACAGCCGGTTACAGGCCAAAGCCGTCTCAGTCAGTTTACCCCATCTGGATTACCCCATCTAGATCAGTTTACCCCCTCTATTCGATGCTATATTTCTCCATGTGTTAACTCTTAAGTCTTTTAACCACTTCTCTAATCTATCTAACC